CTTCAAAAGCGAGTCACCAGAGCTTTTTTTTGTTTATGATCGCTTTAGCGATAATAGAAGAAGCGCAGAAACATTAAGGGGGTGCGCTTTTGACGCTGTCTGATTGTCCCATTAGCTCGTGGTTTCGGCTGGGCTTTGACTGAAGGTTAAGCGAAACATAACAGCACCCTTAGTTGACTTCATGGCCTTGTTTCGTGAATCCACTCCCTTCTGTAATGTACCTTGTACCTGTTTGGGTAAATGAATAAATAAACCGATATACATCGAACCAAGAAATAACGATGTGTGTGCCTGTAGCTTTTATTTCAGCGAAGAAAAACTTGTCATCAAGGGAGACGATATCGCTTTGTTTGTCAATGACAAGTTTTTTTTTTTGTCCTCACTGAAATGTCTTAGAATAATATAGGTCCCTGCACTAGAGTCACAAGGACAACTTAAGAAAATTAGGGCGTGGCGAGTCTCGAGCTTCTTATTATCGCTTCAAAGACCAAGGCAATTAAATTAACAATCAATCAATTCAACCTTGCGAAATCAGCCGTTAAAAATGCCAAAGAAGGAACCGCAAAGCAAGATACGTGATCACAATAGGCCACGCCCGGCGTTACTGAAGGTGCCAATGATTATAGAAAATTGACGTCATCGCGGTAAAATCAGGCGCAGACGCAGGTTAGACCGAGTGCTACGTCAACGTTTGGTTAGGCTTCGTACCAATTCTTCTCAATGTGAAGTGGAGGTTCGCGTGCTTCTTAATCAAGGGCTGCGGTGATGTCAAACACCGAGCTCTGATTGGCTCTGATTGGAAGGATAGTGGGTACACCTCAAGCCAGCTAGCCTTGAGGTCTACCGCACTATCCCACCGCCAGGGCCAATCAAAGCTTGCCGTTCTGACGTTAGCGCAACCCCTTTCGCAAGAAGCAGACGAACTCGCTTTCCGCATAGGGAGTTTTTGGAGATCGTTTTCCCCGATCCGCTACACTCTCCGCAGACGAAGACGCCTCTAGTGCGTGCTGGTTTTGACCACAGAGTTCTCGATCTCGTCGCGGGCTGCGAAGAGCGTTGCGGGACGGAAGATACGATCTCCGAAAACTCCCTACTTCTATAAAAAACGTTGGTAAGATAATCTTGTTTCGTGAATCAACCTAATTGTTTCTATAAGGGATTTTAGTTGTGCTGATATTATATGACCTCTAGTATTCTTATGATTGTTCATTGTGGCTGTAATTATGTTTTGATTTTTATTTCCGTTCTTAATGGTTGTGTTTTCATCGGGCGTTTTTTTGTTCTATCATTTTGTGTTTGATTATTGGTTGTTGTGGAGAGTGACCGCTCTTTGTTCTTTCCTTTTCGTGTGTGAATGTTGGTTGTAGTGGAGAGTGAGTGCCCTTCTCCTATCCACTTTTATGTTCTCTGCCCCCCCCCCCCCCTTTTTTTATGCAATAGCCAACTGGGCCTTTGAAGGTACAAGAAATAACTGCATAAATAATTATCCAGTCAATGAGACAAAGAACTGAGTGTCGGGCCAGCCGGATTCAGCTGTAGCCTTCACAGTGGTACGGCAAAACTCGCGACATTAGGGGCATCATGGCGAATGAGGTCTGGGTTGAAAGCGCGATGCTGTCGACAAATGGCGCCACCAAACACTGAATTCATTTGCAATAATGGCTTATCTACAGTCACACCACTTCTGCGTACAATTCACTTGCTGACGAGATTCTGTTCGTAGATTCTGGCCAACCTGACATATTCCTAAGTTTCGCAAAAAGCAGTCGATCGTGAGTGACACCGAAAAGATCTTGCAGAAGCGCGGTCTATACAATAATAACATTCTATCATGGTTTCACTCATATCTCAACAATCGCACCCATGCAGTTCTCAAGCATAAACGGTCACGGGTCACAAATATCGCGTGTCTTGTAGGGCATACCACAAGGGATCGTAGGGCGTACCACAAGGGATTTGAGACTTGTTTCTAGTTTTCATCAATTACCTGAAAGGAAACCTTTCTTTACAATGCGTTTTTTTTTCTTTTTTTGTGGACGACGCAAATACAAGCTTATCATCGTCAAACGTTTACTCTTCACCCAAATATAGCGCTAGCGGTCGGAACTAGACCTCAAAGTTTCATAACTAACCGTTCATTTATTAAAAAACGTTATAAGCGATTTTCTGAAAGTTTGAATTAGAAAGTGGCGGCCGACGGAGCCGTCGATTACATGGATTCAAATGGCACCAGTTACCAAAAGACGGGCCCTATATTCCCATCGAATACAGTGAAAACAATGAATGCCAATGAGTATTTTAAAAGATATCGCATTTAAAACTTCATTCGACAATACCAAGTGAATATGAACCAAAACGAATTGTTCACCAGTTTGCTTCTATAAAGAGCACTGATTAACTGGGTGCATTATCCGCTTTTAAGTTCTTTATATAGACTGTGTAAACGAACTAGTCAGTAAAAATAAAACGCGTGGAGGCCTTCAATGTCAATTTGCTGAATCGTTACACGACACGAAAGAGCAACAACATAGCAACCACAACAATAACAACAACTGCAACAACAACAACAGCAACAACAGCATGATAACTAGCTGATATTTGTGAATTGGGCTTTCAAAGGGCGACAGCAATGACTTATGCGACCAACGGTTGTGTCATCTTTAGCGCAAGAATGTCGACGAAAGAAAACAAATATGCCATTTGACGCACCCAGTGTTTTTAAGTCAAAGTTCTATCAACACTGCAATCAATGAAGCCAATCAAGCTGCACAAAAAGCGGAGCGTCATGACGTTCGTTGTCTTTGTGTTCGTGTTTCTTCGCTATCAAATCCAACAGAACGCACATGATGGCATGATGCACCGTGATTTTACGCTTTCGATTGGTGTGTATGTGTTTGTGTCTCGGCTAATTTTGACTGCCCTCTGATTTGCGATGAAAATAAGTATATGTGGGCATTGCTTCATGGTGCCCAGTGTGGCAGCGCATGCTGCGTTTGAGTATAAACCGTCAGCGTATATAGACCGGCAACGTCATTCAATAGGGAGCTTTAAGGCTCTGTTATACTCCGACGTAACGCGTGCGCGCGCGCGAGCGCGTCACAGCGACGTCACGTCGGCGAAAACGCGACCGGCGGCGTTCGACGCAGCCTGACCACCTCGACGCCAAAATGGAGCATGCCGTATTCCGCGCCGGCCGCGCCGGCGACGCCGGACCAGGATGCATCACGCGCTGGCTCCCGGCAGCCCTCGGACGGGAAGCGCGGCGATTACGAGCAATAGCAGACGACGGGAGCACTTCGTGTGGCGCCATGTTCGAAGAATCGGACTCGGTCGGGGGTCGAGAAGCTGATCGAGGGAATTCGTCCTCACCTGTGTTTCTACGACACGAGGAACACAGGTAAGGACGACACGAGACCGTGCGACACGACACGACACGAGACCGTGCGCTTGTCAAAGATGTAGGGTATAAACATTTACCACCTACGCTTGCGGCGCAGGCGGTGCACCAACAGTGCAAGCGCGAGTTTTCGTCGGGCAAGGTACGTCCACGCCATCGCTCGAACTTGGCGCTCAAGAAGCGCGAGAATTTTCGTCTGCTATTCGAAATGAAAAGGAACCGGAAATGGCGCACTCTCGCAGGAAGCGCGCCCTCGTAGCCAGATTCTGCGCATGCGCCGCGCTGGCGACCCACCGTTTTGACGCGCGCGGCGTGACCGACGTGACGTAGCCGACTTCGGCCAGCGTTCGCTTGCGCGCGCGTTACGTCGGAGTATAACAGAGCCTTTAGGAAACCGTGTTTGCCCACCCGATAGAGTACGATGGACCCTTTGGTATGTACTGCTCATATTCGAGTCTTCTGTGGTAGCGTTTGCGCAGTTCGTACCAGAGGGCCCATGGTAACCATATCGAATGTGAAAAAACGGTTCCCTAAAACTCTGTAATGGCTGTTATCGGCTCTCCAGCTGTTCTGTCGGAAAGTAAATGCGCGCTATTTATTTATCAGTAGATAGTAATATTTGATGGCACGGAGAGGTATTAGAGACCTTCAAGAGAATAAAAATTAAGCAAACATACAGCAATGTTGTCCTAGAGCAGATTATAACCAAAACATTTACGCTGCCAGCCTGTGATACCGGCCCCTGGCTATGGATTTGACTCACATGTCCCTGGGGGGTTGTTTGGCCGATAAAGGCAGTGCGACTTTTATTATGGTGGTGTTTCTATAAGGGGTTATGACAAACGCCATATTTGAACGCGCTGTTCAGAGCGCGTGTCCAAGGGGCTCACATTAATTGGCTGCTAAGACCGGCAATCATGTTGGTGTGTAACGCATATTGCAAAAGAGCTGTGGAAGCTCGTCGTCAGCACGAGCTCAACATTTGCGCACTCACCTATGGCCGCCAACGAATACTCCCTACCTTTGGGGGGAAGTCAGCCAGAATGTAAAAATAGGGGAAATTGCTTATTCATTCCGGGATTTAGACATATTCACGCCTGATGCAGAATGTTTGAGGGTCTGAATAAAATTATGTTACGAAAGTTATTTTAAAATACAAGGTTAGTGAAATGGCAGAGCCAACCATGTCATCCGGTAGTTTTACAAGCATTTTAACAAGAGGCATCACTACATCTTGTTTAATTCACATGCAGGGATGCCTCTTTTTATGATTTATGCTTATAAAGATCCTGAGATTCATAGGTATATTCATTTCTATAGAGTTGTTGCACATTATAACCTTTATTTTGCTAGCATATAAATAAGTGTATTTGACTTGTAACATTTAAAACGTCCAATGACCTTTTCAGAAAAAAAAACTCTCAACAAATAAAAACATGCGAACCATGGTTTATAAGTTGTAACCGTGGTTATAATTAGACGCTCGAATATGTTCCTGATACTTCTGTACTAACTGCCCAGTACTATACCAAAAATACAGTTGATGGCACAAACGGGGTGTGCTCCTCAGGTGCATGCAGTAATCCGACAAGTGAAACCAAAATAATTATCAAGAATTATACTGTTTATTGCTCAACGATTAAGCCTAGTGGTTAGGGCGTGCGGGTAATATCTTGAGTCTTGTACACTGTCGTCTACTTCTCCTGGTCAACCGTTTACAAGGCCGGGACTGGTGTGGCAGTCGAAGGCAGCATTGTCGAAGCAACGGTTGTTGTAATCCAAGGTTTTTGATGGAACATGTTTTGAATATTCTCCTTGATTTGTTTTCGCAAGTCGCTAATCTTGTCTTGCATCTTGGTCCACCCCCCTCCAGCCGTCGCTTGCAACTTGTTCAAGAAATTCTGAAAATTGTCCCGAAGTGCCGATAGTTTGTCGAAAACCCTAGAGGAGATGTCGCTGATGAGACTGTACTGCGCAGACAGCCCAGGCCTGATAATTTCCCACAACTTCAGTTTCACCGCGTCGCGGGCTTCGATAAGTTGCCCTTTAAGTTCCTGCAGCTGCTTCTTCAGGATTGCGGCACGCAGTCCGGCGGCTTGCCTCATCTCGTCCATCTTCAGTCCAATTTTCTCACCGAGTACCATGAACTTTTCTTTCAGGGTCTTGGATATATCTTTTAACGTGTCAATAATGTAGGCCTCGTTGTCTTCGATGTCCTCAATAGCGAGGTACAAAGCGGGGGTGTTGTCAGAACCTTGTAACAGTTGAGATATTTGCTGCTTGATTGCTTCTCGGAGTTCACCTACCTCAGTCCTCAGTTTTGCCAGCGTTTCTCCGGTTAGATTCTTCATTCGTTTTAAGAAGCTCGCTAGCTTCTCCTTAATATGAGTGATTTTTGAAAATATGTCAAAACCCTGGTCATTGAAATAAGCGTATTGGGTCTGTTTCGGTCTAGCAAGTTCTTTAAGTTTTTCCCTCAGCTCTTCACGCGCTTTAAACATTTGTTTAGCTAGCTCCTTCAGTTGCTCCTTGATCCGAACAACTTGTGCACCAGCGGCTGTTTTGAGTTCAGCGAGTTTTTGTCTGATTTTTTCTCCGATGTTTAAAAACTTTTCCTTGAGGCTCTTGGCAATATCCTTTAGGGTATTAATTACGTAGGCGCGCTTATCATTCTGATCGTCATCCACATTTGCCTGGTACAGAGCGGAGGCACTGACACTTGAACTGCCCATGCATTGATAGACATGATCATTGATCTCATTACCCAAAGACTCAATCAAGTCTTTTACTTCGCCGTAGTTCTCCCCATGGTCAGTTTTTAGCTCGTTCATAAGATACTCTAGCTTCCATCGAAAAGCCAACAGTTTTTCAGCAAACTCATTCGTTTTTCCGCCATAATCAAAGTACTGAGCGGGCGTAAGAAATTCCTTCACCTTTTTCATCAGTTCTCTTCTCGCTTCTCCCAGTTGCATCCTTAAAACTTGAAGTCGGGTCTGGAGCACTTGAACGTGTTCACTAGTGGTAGTTTTAAGTTGCGCTACAATTTCCTTAATCGTATCTATCAAAACAATAAACCTCTCTTTAAGAGACTGGCTTATATCCTTAAGTGTCTTCATAATGTAATTCTCATTGCCTTCATCAACATCGCTTACTTGGTAGAGGGAATTTTTTACTTCACTTGAACCTCGAAGAAGTTCTTGGACTTTCTCCTTGATTTCTTGTCGTAGCTCTCTAATAAGCCCTTTTAACTTTTCCAATTTTTCCCCTGTGACAGTCTTTATGGCTTCAATGAAGCTGTTTAGTTTTTCCCGAATTTCGAACAGCTTAGCGACTACTTCAATGGCATTACTTCCAAACGACGCATATCGAGACTTTTCAAAGATTGCAGCCACCTCCTGCTGCAATGCCTGTCGGGACTCTCTCAGCTGGTTCTTAAAGTTTTCTAGCTGGTCCTTGATTGCTTTAGTCTGTTCTCCTGCGGCTCCTTTCAACTCAAGCAGCTTCTGTCGAATCTTCTCAACCAGGGTGGCAAATCTTTCTTTCAGGGCCACAGAAATGCCCTTGAGGGTGTCGATAATGTAGGCTTCGTCATCTTCTACATGGTCACTTTCTTGGTAAAGGGCACTTGGGGATTCACTTGAACCATGAAGAAGTTCTTGAACTTTCTTTTTGATATCTTCTCGTAGCTCCTTAATGAGCACTTGCAACTTTTCCAACTTTTCACCAGTGACAGTCTTCATGCCTTTAATGAAGTTGCTCAATTTTTCTCGAAGGTCGAAGAGCTTAGCAAATACTACAAGTGCGTTGCTTCCAAATGATGTATAATGGGCACTATTGAACATATCAGCCACCTTCCGCTTAAGAGCTTGAAGAGACTCGCCCAGCTGATTTTTTAAATTTGTTAGTTGTTCCTTGATTGCTTTAGCTTGCTCGCCTGAGGCACCTTTTAGTTCGATAAGTTTCTGTCGAATGTTTTCGCCAAGGGTGAGAAATTTCTCTTTGAGGGTCGCAGAAATGCTCTTGAGGGTATCAATAATGTAGGCCTCCTTGTCCTCGTCATCGTCGCTTGCTTGGTACAACGCGTAACTGTGAGTATAATTTAGGAGTTGGGAGATTTCTTGTTTAATTTCATCTCGAAGTTCGACAATCATTTTCATCAGCTTTTGAGCCTTTTCGACTGTAATATTCTTTACCTCCTTCACAAACACTGCAAACTTAGCTCGGAGCTTCTTCAGTTTAGCGAAAATTTCTTCAGCGTGTTTTTTCAAAGAGGGACTTGGGGTAAATAGCTCCGCTAATTTCTGTTGCAGTTCTTTACGCGCCTCATTCAGCTGGTTAAATATTTTCTGAAGCTGTTCTTTGATTACTTTCGCATGCTTTCCTACAGAGCGCCTCAGTTCCCTTAATTTGTCTTTAACTGTTTGTACGAGAACGAGAAACTTTTTCTTGAGGGTTTTAGCAATGTCTCTCAGTGTGCCAATAATGTAGGCTTCAGCATCATTCTCGTCTGAACTGTAAAGAGCTGTTTGAGGTTTTGCAGAACCATGAAGAAGCTCCTGGACCTTTTCCTTGATTTTTAACCTCAGTTCCTTTATAATTCCTTTTAATGCCTGCAATTTTTCACCAGTTACATTTTTTATTGCTTCAATGAAGTCGTTAAGGCGCGCGCGCATATCGAATATTTTTGAAATTATTATCACAGCATTTTCTCCGAACGAGGCGTACTGCGCTCTATCAAAAAGCTTTTGTACTTTCTGCTTCAAGTCCTCGCGTGCAATGGCCAGTTTATCTTTCAGCTCCTTAAGTTGCTCTTTGATGACCTCCGCATGGCGACCACCAATCTCTTTAAGCTCGGCCAGTTTTTGCTTCATGTGCTCACCGAGGAGTAGGAACTTTTCTTTGAGGGTTCTGGATATCTCCCGTAACGTTTGGATGACGTAAGCTTCGTCGTCGATCTCGTCATTCCCGTGGTAAAGGGCAACATCAGTACCACTAGAATCGTACATAAGCTCTTGAACCTTTTTTTCGATCTTGTGTCGCAGTTCCCTAACCAGTTCTGCAAGCTTTTCCAGTTTTTCCCCGGTCATGTCCTTCATGCCATGTACGAACTTGTTAAGCCTGCCACGAAGTTCGTAAAATTTGGCGAATGTTTCCAGAGCGTTGTCACCCATGGTCGCATACTGGCCTTTGTCGAATAAGTCTTGCACTTTCCGCTTGAGGATGCTGGTGGACTCCTCCAGCTGGTGTTTGAGCTCACTTAGTTGTTCCTTTAGGAGTGACGCCCGACCACCAGCGGCTTGTCTTAGCTCATTTATCTTCTCCTTGATTTTTTCAGCCAGAAGTAGGAACTTCTCTCTGAGGGTCTTGGAGATGTCCTTAAGGGTGTCGATGATGTATTCCTCGTGGTCTTCTTCGTCCCAGGTATGTCCAGAAAGCTGCACGTCTTTTGGCGCCACATAATCCTGTTCAACGTCGGTACCGTAAGCGGGGTCTTGCGGCCTAAAAAGCAAATGTAGAAACTTGAAACACTGAAATTGATATGAGACCCATAAAGTAGTTTTGAAGAAATATGAAAGCCTTCTAAAGAGGACACGTTTTACTTCGAAGATATATATATATAAAATCAGGTTCAATTGAAGCAGCATCTCGGGAATATCTGCTTCAAACCAATGCTATGAAATTCGATGTAATAGTTAACTTTTACAGCGGTGGCTGTTACGCGTCTGTTCCCCGGTTTCGCGACGGCGTGAGCGTAAACAAAAAGGTTCCCTGCAAAGTTTGGTGGAAAAATTAATGCCACGTGACATGAAGTCACGTGACGTACCAAATTCAGGTTTCCCGCTAAATTTAGCAGAAAAACTTACGTCACGTGACCTATGTACCAATTCGGTTTCCCCGCGAAATTTTGCGGAAAAATTGACGTCACGTGACCTATGCACCAATTCAGTTTCTCCTCTAAATTTGGCGGGAAAATTGATGTCAGGTGACCTGATGTCCTGAACCTACAGACGAATTCAGGCTCCCCGCCCAATTCAGCGGAAAAAGTAGCGTCACGTCACCTAAGAAAAAATTCAGTTTCCCCGATAAATATGTCGGGAACACTTGGCGACGGCGTGAGCGTAAAGAAAAATAAACAAAAAGCTGCCCCCGTCTAACCGCATCGCGCCATGTTGTCGTCCTACAATTTTTTTTACGCGACCTTTAATTAAAGGCAATGATTCTCGCGTCGCTTATGACGTCTGGTTACTGAAAACTCTTTATATGAAGTGCTCCCGTGTTCTTTTTATCCTGAGCGAGTGCTAATACTGTCGAGTATAAAATGTACCGTCGAAACGGCGATCGACATTAAGATGCATCGACGTCTTTCTTTCTCAGACCTAAAACATCCATTGCCTCGCTTTTACCGTCGAAGCGTGCCTAAATAAGCAAAGGTACAACGAAAAGTTGGTTGCTAAAATGGCATCAGAGCTACGCCTTCGAGCTGTGTCACACCAGACTATATAAACGTAAAAAAAAAAAAAAAAAAAAAAAGCATTTGGGCGTAAATTTGCCAGCTAGAAAGAGAGAGAGAGAGATAGGCCGGGTGGGGAATAGAAATAGGCTAACCTAGGCTAATTGTCATGGTTGGCAGCGATCGCATCACTAAGCAAATGCGTATAAAGGCATTATGGTTGACTTGTACTGTCTGAGCCGTCTAACGCAGTTAAACTTAGTGATAGAGCCATCGGTTTGTGTATGAGCGCTGTCCAAATCAATTCGAAGATATAGGAGCATACATCTCCAATGCAGATAATTAAATAGATATTTATTTATTAAAACCACCTAGCTTAATCAGGACCGTGGTAGGAGAGGTACAACATTACATCAATAAAATACAAAAAAAAAAAAAACAAAAAAAAAACGAAATGGCAATATTATTCAAGACATTGAACAAGTTTACAGTTTACACCCTATATACAGTGAAATAAGAACACGAACAATGTTTACAATTGCAGTGAAATTAAACCAAGTTTACCTAAAAAAGAAAGCAGTGATTCCGTCAATGGAGCAGTTAACAAATCTTAGTTTGTTAGAGAGGCAAGGAATTTGTTCCACTCAACAATGAATTGAGGAAAAAAATTGGCGTTCATTTTACTAAATGGGTTCCACACAACATTGATATATTTCAAAAGTGGTCATTATAAAATTTTGTAAACTGTTGGTTCTGTGTTTGATGAAGAAAGCTTTAGTAGACATTTCGAGGACCAAAGCCGCTAGGTCGCTTTCGTACAACAGTGGCAAGGTGCTAATTATATAATACTTTAGTATTAAAATTTAATACCCAAGTGCTTGTATTTTTTACCTTTTAAACTAATAACCCATAGGACGGCCTTTACGCTTGATTGACATTGACACTGTTTTTTTATCTTGTTAATTCCGTTTGCCAATCTCGACAGAAGGCGAGTAGCCTTTCTAAGTGATTGTTAAAAATAGTTCTCTACTGAGAAGATTTAACATCAAAGTATAAAACACTAATCGTCTGCAAATAATCGAGTTTTTACATATGCGTTTCTAGTTATATTGTTAACGTAAAGTAGAAAAAGCAAGTGTCCCAAGACAGAGCCCCGGGGTACCCCGAAGTCAAGTCTGGTTCATTACCTCTGAAATACACACACTGTTTATTTCCCTCGGGGGTACGTGGCTAAATATTTCACAAGCTTGTGTGTGATAAGAACTGCGTTCAGTAAAAAAAATCTTATTGTAGGAAACTTTATCAAATGTATTAGATATATCCAGGAACAAACCGTCGACTTGTCATTTGCTGTTGAGGACGTGATCAAAATCATGGGTCACTTGAAGTAGCTAAGTTACTGTAGAGAACCCGTTTCTAAATCTATGCTGACAAGTTACCAAAACATTTCCCTTTTCTACATGGTCATAACGTTGCCTAGAAATTATATGATCTATTAGCTTAAACGACTACTCTTTATAAAAATAGGCCTGTAATTCGCAATATTTTTCTTGGGATCCGATTTAAAAACGAATGTGATTGTAGCTAGTTTCCATCCCTCAGGAACAACACTCCACTCCAGTGATTTTTGATAGATTATCAGAAAGTATTTAGACACCCACTCCGAGTAACACCGCAAGAGTGAATTGGAAAATAGATCTGGACCAGCCGACTTTTTGAAATTGATTTTAAAAGCAAAATAAAAATACTTTCTTCAGTAAAAACGAGATCACTCAACTCCGCGAGAGTTTGATCAACGACGAAGTTTGCTAGTTTTTCATCATCGCAAGTGAAAACAGATTTAAGATGATTATTAAAGTTGCTGGCATTTTTGTCGGCTCTTTAGTGACTTTCTCGTTTATCGTAAATGCAGACGTTGACTCCCATTTGCTCCCACAAATCTTTGCTGTAGTTGATTTCAAGGATCCCTTTACAGCAGACTTATGTTATTAAACCTTTGCAGCATATAACGATTTCACCTTTCTCATATGGGTTAAACTTTGTAATGGGACAAGTCAAAATCACCACAGAGACAACGACCATTGAACACGTTTTCGGAAATAGTTCAATCGATATTTCCGTGTATGATTCCGTGCTCAAGACAGGTTTGGGGAAAAAAAAATTAAAAACTGTGTCTCACCGGCCAGAGCAGACTGTTAGGCATCATGTCGAGCGAACGTGGAGGGAATAATAGAGAATATTAGGTTCACGATCACACTATTCGCCCGGGATAAGTCTCACCTTGGGCAGCAATTGCCAGAACCAAGCACCCCGCGAAGAACAGAAACCGCATCTGCAAAGTAACCGTAGGGTCTCGTTTGTTTGTAATTAAAAGCAAAACATACTTCACTTATACGACCCATATTCTGTAATACAATAGGCGAGATCCATATAAAAACGTGATAAAATTCTGTAGTTTTATTAGCGGACTTTAAAATCTTAAGTGATTCAATGAAATGTATTTTACGCAGGACACATATTGTACGCATAAAACAAACTTTTGCCGGTGCTTGGAGCCGCATTTATTTAATTAAAATATCGCTAATTAGAAGATTATTAAGTCAGACCGAGAAAAGCATATTCTAAATGTGCCATCAACAGGGAAAGTACGGTAGATAAATACGGACAAACATCTACTTGACCTGCGTATTCATTAAGAAAAATACATAGGTCACATGGTTCCTTCGTGTGGTATATCTGGATATGGCTCTTGCTACATATGTACTTTTGTCAATAGAGGCTCAACCTAGAAATGTAGAGTTTTTGATGCAATTTCTGTAGTTTTAGTTTTATAATCTACGTGGGATTAAGCAGCTTAGTTTAAATTTCGTTAGGGATATAACGAATTGGATTACCCGAGAAGGTGTAAGTTAAAGTTATTAATTTGTAATTTTTCCTGTTGGACATACAATTGTAATAGGTATTTCATCTGGCAATGATGACTAAGCACACAGATTGTTTTCAGGTAACTAAAAGTGAACAACTAACACCGAGCTCACGCTATGACACTCAATCTTTAAATGAGATTTATAAAACGCATGTAACCAATAATCGATTTGAATAACTTGCCAGCACACATAGGGACTGAGGATGCTCTAAGACATTTTTAAGAACTCATGTGCACAAACAATAACATCCAGTTGTTTTTATTTTTTTTTCTTGTTCACTTACCTTTACTTTGCTTACATATCTTGTTCATCGTTCTCGCATATTTTCGTTCCCTTTGTTTAGTAGTCATGCTTACATTATCTACTTTTTGTATTTTTATGTACTTCCCCTCTCCCCTTTTTGTACCCTCCCTCGAGGGGTGTCTTGAATAAATAAAAAAAATAAATAATTTACAACAAGCGTTGCAAAATATGCCGAAGGCCCAGTCCACACAATTTGTTCTATTTCTCACAGCGCCGCTCATGATGATAAACCTTTCGACATTGAACTTTGTAACTAGTCTTACGCCGGTGCTCATATTTTTTGGCCCATGTGTAAAATATATTCGCGTCTTCGCTTGAACCATTTATCTTATATTTTGTTAACTCAGTGTGAAATAATGGAATCGATGCTGAAAGAAAGTGATTTAAGCTTCAACGGTTATTTCGCTTATAATGCTAGCATGAACCACTAGACAGGGGTGAACTTGACAATACAGAGGCAGCTGCCTAGGACGGCAGAATTGGGGAGCGACAAATTTCGTAGAGTGTTTTTTATGCAAGTATGTTATTTCAATATTTGAAATAAATTGTGTAGCTGAGTTTAAGGCACTATCTTCCCCTCTTAAATTTTTTTCCCTCCAGTCTCATGACTTACGATCATGCTTAATACAAAACAGATCGCCTGCACTAGAAACATTTTCGTTTTGTTATTAGACTGCCTGTTCTGCCTACTAGTTTCAAAACGTGTGATGTCACGTCCCTGTAAAGCGCGGGGAAATTTGAATATTTGTTTTGGCATTATCTTTTTTGCAGTTTTCTCAATAGCTACTTTAAATTTAGAGGTAATAAATGACATCCTGAAAAGAGTAAAGCTTGGTTATTCTGAAAATGTAATTAGTTTGGGCAGCTCGAAAAACCACCGGACGTTTCTTTCGAGAGTCATGCTACTCACCGTGGTACCCCTCCTTGCACTTGTCGGAGGTAGAAAGTGATTGTGCCCATGGGTAGTAGCTGCGTTTATATACAGGCCGCTGCAAGAGCTACCATGAAACCTGCACCAGCTGATTCGTCATTGCAGGCGTATGAGAACGTTCACGGCTTCCCGGATGTCATGCAGATTATACCCAAGAACTCGCCTAGACCGATGACCCCGAAGTGTAATGCAAAAAAAGAGAACAGGGATATTTTGAATTGCCTGAAAAAGATAAACGAACTACACAGATAAAGAAAAAAAACAGAGATAAGAGCACTTTCACGCATGAGGACAAGCGCAGCTGTTATAGAGTAGAAAACTAACTTAGCTGATCATACTCGAGGTCCGCGTTATTAAGATCATTTGTTTCCTTACGTATACTTAATGAATGTGTACGAATAAATTACCAAAAGTTTCAATAAATTGTTCTCTAGAGATGCCTGTTATATGGTTGCAATACTTGTAATTTAAAACTGCCGAAGGCCGAACTCTATGGACGTTAGTACAACCTGCTTAAGTTTCGCAGTGTTCGCTGTTTTTTAACACCCCAAAGAATCCTGCAATTCTTACCGGACAGATGCTTACAGGACTTTTTGAGCATACGAACTCCCAGTGTTAGCGTCTAATCAAGACTATTTTCAAGGAAAATGTCTGAGTCATGGATCCTCTGGGGACGGCTACGGCTTGTTCTTTCACGTCGAAAATGAGCTCGATTTCTTGGATTAGCGTTTTGAACGCTGGTTTCGAAAAGCACCCATAAAATACGTGAGACGGGAGCTCAAATACTCCGCAAGTCGGCTTAGAGCGTCTCGTTTCTTGCAAGCTTACTAATAGCAACGCTCATGCCAGCAAATTTCCCTGAATAGTTACCGTGCATTTATGACGCTAGTCCGCGGGCTACATATTTTAAAGGTTGAAGATTTACGTGGTGGGGCTATACAACTATTTAGCTTTAAAATGTTGTTTATTCTGACAAAACATGGCGAATTTTGTGAATGACAGACTAAGCTAAAGATGTCTTCTGTTTGATTCAAGCGTCTTCTTGCCTTAATAAAGCAGGTATTTTTAAGGTGTGTTGTTTGCGTAAATTTTTACTCCCGGAGTAATCACCAGGTGGGGACCATAAACTGAGCACGGACTATCTAAAGAAAACACTTTTTTCTTCAGCGAAAATTGATTATGGCGGACTATACACCGGGCGCGAAATACAGCTGAAAAACACGGTAGTATTCAGTGGCTTTTACCCTTGTACCTGCATTATTTATGTATTGATGTTGCCTGGTGTATTTTGAATTTGCCACAATCCAATAAAAAGTCTCAGCCGGAGTCACTCTCGACGTCAAGGATGCACCATTTTAAGTTTTCACCCAACCGGACAGATATATGTCAAATGTTTAGCTTTAGGAATAAACACGAATCTTCTTGAAGTAAACGACCGAGTGTTGCTTGCTCGGCCCCGCACGTCCCAATTTTAAAATATCATCATCCTGATGCAACGCGAAAGGGGAAAGATACCGTGAGACGAAATAAACATGCAGCGTCACAGTCTTAGCGTGCGTAGAACGGCTTGAGCCGAACGATGTGGACCACTCAGGGTCGTGGCTGGCTGCGTCCTAATGGTCGGGTTTCGCCGAAAAGTACCTCGTATAGATGAAGTCGCCAAGGCGGCAAATTACCTTGTAGGGTCCGAAGTAGCGTTTTAATAGCTTCCCGCTGAGGCCGCGGCGGCGAATGGGCGTCCACGCCCACACCTTGTCTCCGGATTGGAATTCTGCGTCGCGGCGACGAGGGTTGTACCGGCCAGCGTCGACACGTTGTTGGTCCTTTTTCCGAAGGCGGGCTAGCTGGCGTACCTATTCTGCCCGATGGGTGACCAGCTGAGCGTCGTCAGTGCCGTTGTCCGTCGGATCGTGGGGAAGCATGACGCCTAGCATCGTCGTCACCTTTCTGCCGTGCACCAGTTGAAAAAGTGTAATCCCAGCGGTCTCTTGAACCGCCGTGTTGTACGCAAACGTGACGTAGGGAAACACCTAATCACACATCCTGTGTTCCACGTCCACTTTCACCGGGATTATGTCGGCAATGGTCTTGTTCTATCGCTCCGTCAGCCCGTTGGTCTGCGGGTGGTATGCAGTGGTTCAACGGTGGTCGGTGTTGCTCAGGCGGAATATCTCTTGTGTCAGTTGCGCCGTGAACGATGAGCATCGGTCCGTAATCAGGACTTGAGGAGCGCCGTGTCGGAAGATGATGGACTGGACGAAGAACATGACTTCCACAGCGGCTCCCGGCGGGAGTGATTTTGTCTCGGTGTACCTGGTGAGATAATCAGTTGCCACGATATTTCAACAGTTTCCCTGCGTAGATGGCGGGAAAGAACCAAGTATATCAATTCCAATTTGCTGGAACGACGCAGTTGGGGGCGCGACCGGCTGCAGGAGGCCTGCCGGATTCGTCGGCGGTTTCTTCTGTCGCTGGCGCTCGTGGCACGATCGTGCGTAGAGGTGGACAGACTTCGGGAGCATGGGCCAGTAGTAATTCTCTCGAATCCTTGAAATAGACCTGCTTTAGTCAAGGTGACCAGATGTCGGGTCGTCGTGGCAGGCTTGGAATATCTCTCGTCAAAGACTAGTAGGAATGGCCAGTAGCCACGTCGATCGTATTGATGTCCCCGAAGTTCTCTTTGTCGAGAATACCTTGCCGGACGGCAAATGTTGGCAGAGTATGTGAGAAGGCTAGGTGAATCGTACCTCCTTGTCCCTCCTAGTGGTCGATCAGTGCGCGCAGTTCGGGATCGTCCCGTAGGAGCGCTGCCATGCCGTTAACGCTCACTGCGCCAAGAAAGAGATCGTCATCGTCATCGTCTTTGTCGCTCGCAGCCAGTAGCTGACTTGACGGGGGCTTTGGATAGGCAGTCGACGTCGCTGTGCTTTCGGCCTGACTTGTAGACCCCAGACCACGTCGTACTCTTGCAGTAGTAGGCTCCGTCGAGCGAGGCGTCCGACGGATCAGGACCGGAACAGCATTCACACCGGCCAAACAAGCGAGCTTCGGGCTCGTCGACATCGAGGGCTCCAGATGCAAGGCCTGCGCTGGGAGCAACACAGCCACACTACGCCACCTCCTCTGGGACTGTTCAGGCCTGGAACGGCTGAGGAAGAAAGCGATCCAATCTCTTCGGGAAGAGGACAGACCGGCGACGCTCGAGGAGTGGTCCCGACCCCAGGGAACACCACAGCACAGAAAAGCAATCCTCGATTCCCTGATGAGCTACATCAGGAAGACGGGGACCCATCATCACATTTAATTTTTTTTTCATTTTTTTTTACATCATTCATTTCCTTTTTCCCCTAAAACCCCATGCCCTCCTTCCTGTCTCAGGCCACCCCACCAAGACAGCCGAACCACTCATCTCATCAATAAGGCCGACGTTGCTGCCACCGGGTGGTAGCAACGACTACCGGAACGAAATCCTTGCTGCCACCCGTGACGTCGTATCCGGTATAATGTAGCCACATTATTGTTTTATAACTAGACTTTATTTGTAATATGTCAAATATCTGGTAGGTTTATAAACTATTTATATAGCAAATGCTCGACATACCCGGAAAAAGCATTGCTTCAAAAAAATCGGAATGACTGCACTGCTACCCGACAACGCAGGGTAGAAGCACTGCGCCTTTTTGTATTTGTACCGCGCCTAGTTTGTATTTTTTTAGATCTATTTAGGTTTATAAACTGTTTTATAACCAATGCATAATGTATTCAGCAATATTAATGCTCTTTGAAAACATTAGCGAGTGTGAGCGACTGCCCGACAGCGACAGGCGGCAGCACCTGGTTAGATGGATGGATGGTAATGGCAATACCCTTTGTAACGGGCGGCAGCTTGCGCTACCTAGCCAAACATTTTGTCATCCCAGCAGTATTATGCTTTTGATATCGATTGTGTTGGCCTTGTTGGAGGGAGTTGGTTGGCGCTGGTTCCTTTGTTATGGTGTACCTTTGGGGCATTTGGTTGCTGTTCTGACGTTTCGACTTCGAAGCTTGTGAGTGAGACCAGTGAGGATAAAGCCAAACCTAGAAGCCCGAGCCTCGAGCCCCGAGCTAGACCGCGGTGCTGGCTTTGAGACGTTCCTTCCTTGCGCGAGCGTTCGTTTTGCGGTCGAACTTTTCAAAGCTGAGGTGTTAAGATCACAGTGGTCTCGACCCCGTGCTTTCGTGCGTGCAGCACTGGCTGCTTGTAACTATAGGAAGTATCCACTGGCGGCCATAGCTGTGTGCGCGACTGCTGAGCGCGTGCTGATAGCGAACTTCCACAGTTCTTTTGTAACGTGCATTTCGCACCCTCAAGATTGCCGGTCTTAGCAGCCTATTAATGTGAGCTTGTTCTGACCATGCGCTCTAGACAGCACCCACAAATATGACGCCCAGTGAATACTCCTTATACTCTGTTTTGTCATTATCGTGCAACGCTGTCAAAGTTACTGGCGCGAGCGCGTGGCTTCATCTACGGTTTGAGATCAAGCCCCATGTTCGCGCCAGTAGCTTTGACAGCGTTGCACACTAAACATGAAACAGAATATAAGCTCAGTGCAAGCTCAGTTTGGAAAGATCTGTGAATAAAAGAGCCGAGACCGTTGGGACAAGTGACCAGAAGTTCCGACAAGGCGTTGGTCCCGACTTCGGCGGTGCAGTCCCGTCTTTTAGGTCTCAATCCCGTTGTGCCAAGCACCCATGGGACGGTGTTTTGACGCACTTCAACTGAACCTGCTCGAAGTCCCAGTTACAGACAGTTGCAACGGGTCAGCGTCATGTACACTACTGTCAAAGCTACCGGCGCGAGCGCGTGACTTCATCTACCGCGTGGTGGATTTGTCATTAGCAAGTAGGATACGAGCTATCCGGAGACTATAAAATATTAGTCTTAGCCATTGGTTGTCAAGGCTTGCTCGGGCCCGCAGCCTTGACAACGTTGTACACTAAACATGAAACAGAGTAGG